GTTATTGAAGCTGCTGAAATGCACCGAATGGTTCTCTGGATAAAAGTTTATATGAGAAAAATCTAAGAATCCGAAACACAAACATGTGTAATGTTAGCTGAGAGGCTGGAAGACTGGATACCAAAATTGTACTAACAGCTGGAATGCTAACAGCAACCTTTTGAGGTGCTGAATCTAGTAAGCTATTGTGTAAAACTGTCGGAAGCTCAGGTCTGCACACAAAGATGAAGGAAAGTACTGACATTTCATCTGTATTTGAAAATGTCTCAAGCAGCAGCTGCATTTGATATAAAGAAACATGACGAGAGGGAGAGGTGCGATTTAAAACCAGGTGTTCCACTTGCTTTGAACCAGCAGTCAACTATCAACATGTGATTTTATGGAAGCACATCTCACATAATAAAAAGATATAATTTAGGTATACAATCGGCAACACATCATCTCCTCCCCGTTCACCTGGTGGGCTCATCAAAGAACATGACTGGAGGATTGTTAACCAGTTCGAGGGCGATGGCCAGACGTTTACACTGACCACCTGACAGTGAGCTGGTACGAGTGTGGGCGCAGTCAAGGAGCCCTAAAGCAGTCAGAATCTCGTTCACCTGAACAGAGAAAAGAGAAAGGCACAGTTTCACTGATTATCAAAGCACCAATAAAAAATGTCTTCTTTATATTTATATCTAAATGCCTGTTTGGGCAAAACAGGGAGAAAAAACATGAAAATGCTCGGCAGGAATAAGAATGTGGTGCTACATAACAAAATAGATGGTGAGTAATAAAATCCTGCTTGTGGACATTATGAGTAAACTGGCTGGTTCAGTTTACAGAGCATGATAAACTGCTCTCACCAGTTCCTTCTTCACATCCATAGTTTCATTCAGCTTTAAGTTGGCTGAAACCTGAGCAAAGAGAAAATAGATTGCATTAACGTAATCAAGCTAAAAAAAAGCTACAAAACAAAACACAAAGCCAAATTCAGAATGTGCAAAAATGTGCTCCGAGGCTAAGTTGAAGTTTACCATCATGGCCTCCCTGGCAGTGAGGTGTGGCAGCAGCATGTCTTCCTGCATGATGTAGCAGGACATTTTCCTGAAGGTCCTCAGGTCCCTGGGTTTCCCATTTACCAGGATCTGACCCTTCATCCCTGTTTCCCTGAGCAGCACGAAGGACAGATACCAAACATTTCACTGCCCAGACAAACTTTACTAATTAACTACGCCTTATGTTTGTATCACACAGGCCTCATTTATGTCATCATAAGTGTATCAGAGAGTCTGCTCACCTGTACCCTGCTAGAATGTTCATCAGGGTGGACTTCCCTGCCCCCGATGGCCCCATGATCCCTATAAGCTCCCTGCTGCAGAACCGTCCTGACAGGCACTTTAATAAGGCTTTGAAACCTGCAGATAAGTGACAGGGTATTCATGGGAATGAGCAGTGATATTATATTACTGCACAAGAACAAACTTTATGTAAGCATAATACAAATACTCATGTTAAATAGGAGCTACTAGTTCCAAAAAAAGCCACTTGGAATAAAAGACCTCAACACTGCCCCCATCACCGAACAGAGCGGGAGTCCGTGAACACATATGACACAGATGAAAGTCGGTCCTGGGGCAGAGGTGGGTTGTAAAGTGGTTTGCAGATGCACAGCAACTGTGGCTGTGCATCTGCTCAATATATATTGAGTCCTCAATTAAACATGCACAGAAGGGTTTCCACTGAGATATGAGCTGGCGGGGTGTTCCCCACTGTGTTACTGGGCATGAGATGATCCCTGCTTTCCCTAAACACCCGGGGCAAGCAGGGACAAGAAATGAAACTGTTCAGTTAGCTAACATATCCTATTTTTCTGCTGCTCTGTTCATCATTTAACACATGTAGGAACTGCTTAATTAATTTAAAAGAAATGTAAGCACAGGGGGAAATGTTTTGAGCTAATACAACAAGGTTCAATATCCAACCTTCCACTGATGATAACATCATGTCTTCAGAGCTACAGTCGCACATTATTCTCTAGTAGAAGTGGCTCATGTGGAATAATATTAACACATGTCTGACAGTAAAACTGACCAGTAAATTCAGCAGGCAGATGCATCAACACTTACAGCACAAATATGGTTGGTTAAAGTGGATGAATGTCCTCTGCACTCTGGGATGGTGATGACTGATGATCCCCAGTAAACTTCCAGTGTTGGTCAAGTTACTTGGAAAAAGTAATCAATAACTAATTACTGATTACTTCCCCAAAAAAGTAATCCCGTTACTTTACTGATTACTTATTTTCAAAAGTAATTAATTACTTA